TTTCGACTTAAATCTTCATAAACTTTCTTCACAGAAGTGAACGAATTTCCTCTTTAAACGGTCATTTATGCGCGTGTCCAGTAAGATTATTTGGATCTTTAGCCCCACCACACACACTAACTTTATACACCTCACCATTTGAAACAGTAAAAAAGAATGTCATAGGCCAATAAAGCAATATTTAAGTATAGTGAATTTGCATAAACTTTGCAGTCTTCTCCAAGTATACACGTAACAATCTGGCGCCGCTTTAAATCGTTGGAAATTGCTCGACGTTTGAGTAGCATACTTCACTAAAACGACTTTAGTGGAATGAAGTCATCAAAACATTGTATCGGAACTTTTTGGAGCACATTAATGAATCTATAAACTATCTACGTAAGCAAGTAAAATCGATTTCTTTAAATTATCAAGGTCTAGGTCACTTTCAATAAAACAAAAGCTTTGAAACTTACATAGACCAATTACCAAGATAACTCTTTTAATCTGTTCCCACTCCGTAAACTCTATAAAAATTTAATTCACTCAATATGTAATCATAAAATTTAATTTTCAAATATGAACAAAGGGTTGTATTATTCACGTGCGATTGGCGCAACAATGTTATGGGGTACGCGAATGAGAATCCTGATCAAACGTAACCGATGACTATGTATTCCTTTATGTCGAAAAACACGTCTCGGTTCGTCGTAGGTAAATAAATTCTCGTGGAGTTCGTTTATCGAATTCCTGAACGTGGGTCCCGCGTTCAATTTCAACCCTTTGAAACAACACGCACGCACCCCAGGGTTTGTCTTACCATGTTCAACTACGTACGCGTGTCGTAGAGAAGTCTTTGTAACATATTCACACGACAACGAAGTCCCTCTTCACTCGGTACACACATGGTATCCAACCGAATTTATTTAACCCAATTAAGGGACCCCGGCGAGGATCTTCGAGCGACTGTATAGCCAATTGAAAGTTACACGTGTTTTTGTCAGCCCTCATTTAACACCGAAGTTTGCAGGGAAACAAAGTGAAACCGGATACCAGAAACGAACGGGAAAGATTAACAGGGCGCGGAGAGGGAGAGAGGGACAGAGGGAGGGAGAATGTTCTGTAAATGAACAAGTGTTAGTTCCACAAAGGAGCCCCTACAGATAGTGGACACGAACGAACGCAGGTATAAGGAATAGAGGAAACGGATACACTGCAGTTCAAAAGTTTCGGTTTACCTAATATTCACAGCTTGTGATGTAAAATATAGTTTAAATAAAATATAGATTACTTAGTTTATTACGATTTTCTTTTCTATTGTATTTTCTTGTCTGGTCTTCGTTACGGCAAGCAGTAATGTTTTATTATCTTTCCACTAATTGATACAGCTCAGACAGTTTTACGGATCATGGGATTTTCTTGTTTAAAATTATTTTATTGCCCCGTGCCGACCATAATACCTCGGATCCTTTTAGGTAAATTAGTTTTCCACGATAAAACCCTCATTAAGAAGAAAGAACGTTATTTCAACGAAAGGAACTTGTGGTAGTTGTGACTGGTGAGTTATAATTGTAATTTCATCACAACAACTAAGTGTAGAGAAATATAAAATATTTAAATTATATAAAAGTTGAAACATTTTTTCGTATTTCTTTTTAAGAAATGAAGTTTTCTTCTCAACAAATAAACGATTCAAAACTTTTTAGCCTAATGTGAACATATTATAGTAGACATTGTCTTTCTATCAATTTATATAAAATGACCAAACACTAGATTTTCAATATCTTCTTCACTTCTGAAGAAGTGTTGAGAACCAATGAATTTTCGAACATCTGGATAGCTATTAAACATCTTAACTGATTTCTGCGAATCATAGGAGTCGTTTCAAGCATCTCCAAGAAATTTTGAAACCCTGTAACTACCTCTGACAGATCAGGCCCTAGCGTTTTGAAGAATCAGCCAATATCCCCTGAAGGCCCTTAAAAAATCAACCAAGGTCCCTTGTAAATCTGTAAAGAGTGGGAGAAGTGACCTAAGATGGCCTAACAAGTTTCTATCTGACTTCGAAGATTCAGATTCCTGAAGGCCCACTCAAAACTATCAATTATCGGCTTCCCACTTTTATTCCTAATAAATAATAATCTTTCTGTTAACTCGAGCACTTGAACAAATATTGACTTGATTATAATTGTGGAATGCAAATAAAATATTAATATTACTAGAAAAAAAATGATTGGAATGTTTAATTACTTAAAAGATATTAATGAAAACTATTATAAGAATGATAATTGTTGATTAGATAGATATATTTTTGTAGTAGCGGTGTCACGTAACCACCGGATCACGTGATAACAATTTACAGTGTATAGTCTATCCTATCTCTCGTTGGTGGTATTACTTGTCCTCCATTAAAAAGCATTCCTAAACATAATTGCAAAAAAACATTTCAAAGACTTTCTTGCATCTGATCTCGCTGGTCAAAGAAACCACGTTAAATTTCTTTCTCTATCGTCTGTAATATATTTACCTTTTTTATAACCGAGCGTATATGTAGCTATCCTATAGAGAGAGAAATCCAATTACTATCCGCGCCACATTTGGCTTGGTACGGGCGAACTCCATCCACTCGGAGTTGCATCTATTTCGCATCAGGTGGAAGCCAATTGTGCAGGCTGGGCCAAGCCAATCGGGAGTCCCGTTCAATAGTACCAGAACTAAATTATTATAATGTCGACCGAACAAAGCATAGCTGGCCGGAAATTCTGTGCTAATCAATTACGAAATTAAATCTGAATCCCGTTTAACGCCGAAACGCGGGCTCCTTGAAAATATCCTGGTTAATTCGGACCGAGTAACGGCGAATCGCATGACGACGAATTTCAAAAGAAAAACGTGCAAAAAAGAAAAAAAAATTACATTACTACCGACGGATATGGCATCTCAACGGAAAGAGAGCGTTGTTGATACCCGGCACCATCATCCACCGTACAACTCGTCAATTACAGAACGCGTAATGAATGAGCGCCTTCATAATTCGCGAAAAAAACTTATCTCCTCGCCCCTTTAACGCATCAACGGTTGCCGTCAACAGGCGCCGGTACGCTTCGCTTAGCCCGGGACGTAGTAATGATTCCTACGGAACAGAAAGTAAATGTAGAAGACCTACCACCTTCGTATCTCCGCTATTTCTCGTCGCGACAGACCGTATAATGCGGACAGGCCGTGTCGCGACAGAGAGAGAAAGAAAGAGAGAGAAACGCGCGCGTATAGAATGTTTCACCGAAACCTCGTCTCGACGATCCTTGACGGAAATTCAGAAGTTGCGTTTCCTTTTTCTTTTCCCTTTTTTTCGAAGGCATAATAGTGCTTACGCGACAAGCGATAAGGGTTTTACGCGTGAGAAACGGGTTCGGGGCTCGTGCTCGCGCTCACCGAGCCTGGCTCTCCCCCATCCTTCGCCGACAGGTCCATTGAAACGCACGGACGTTATTAAGAACATCCGCGGTGATACCAAACCTCGACTTAGCGGATTCAACGCCGAAGGATTTCATTTATCAAGCTCGTGTTTTTCGACACCGAATCAACGAAATGTAACGAATGGACATGGAAAAGAACAGAGCAAAGGTACGAAGAAGAAGACATTCGAGCAGGGCGCGAAAGTATCTCCCCCGGGGAAACTACCTACCCAATACGAACGGACTAGAGTTCGAAATCCCTGGCCGTGTAGTCGTGTAATATTGCAAACGCATTTATACTATATGCGTGCAATATGCAAGGAACGTTCGCCACGCAGCCACACACCATAGGAGCCTTCCCATTGCATCGTGCACTAATCACGGTAAAAGCCGTAGGTCGTTCGCGTTATATCCGCTATCCGGCTGTGTCTTGCCTTACTTAATGGAAATATGAGAGGCGTTACACTCGTCTGGTGACACGTCTATCCCGTTTCTGTTTTATTTCTAGTAATACCGCGGGGACATTGTTTCACAAACACGACCGTCGCTGTGTCAACACGCGCCATCAATGTCTCGTCTACATACAGTACTCTCGTCAGCCGCGCCATCGGCCCTCCCTCCCGCCTCTCACTTCAAAACATGATTCGTGGAAAGAACACAGATATAATCGACGTCCGGGTGACTGGATGAACCAGTTTCCCAGCAGAGTGTCTATTGATTTCTCGATCGTCCGGAACAGGATCAATTTTTCACCTGAATCACCAACCGGACAGCAGCCCAGCGGAGAAGAGGGCTCGACGAGACATCGATCGTTATTACGGTCCCGTAATTAACCAAGAACCGCCGCGCCGCGTGGAACGTCAGAGTCAATTAAACGCGACGCGCTCTATCATTTCGATTTTCCACGGTTTCGTGATCACGTGTTTTCAGGACCACCGGTCGACGACTAGTCGCGTCCACCTGCGCGCACTAGGGCAAATTGTGATTTATGCTGGGCAACAGCGTTCGTCCGCCTGACGAAAGAGAACTGTGAACGTAATGAATTATGGCGACTCCATGGCCTAATGCAAATATATGGTCCGCGACCGTGTAATCAGCCGCCCGCTTGACGTTTCACGTTCCGCTCGGACGACGGAAGAATCACGCCCGTGTCACCGCCGTGTGTCCGACAATCACGTATTTCTCCGAAGGCGTGCGATCACTAGTTAACGTTTTTCCATAGCGCACGCCGGCAATCGTGAGCCGCTGCCACCGTCGTCGCGCCGCCGTTACCGCCTGTCTCCTTTATCCGCCCCGGAACCCCTCATTCAAACAACATTGGCATATTTTCTGCGTAACTTCAAGGGTGAACGGAGACCTAGACACCCTTCACCGGTACAAGCGGAGAGTAGTGGGTCTGTTCCAGACAACGAAAAAGGAAAAAAAAGAATGGAATAGCACCACGAGAACGTAATAGATACGGCACTCATATTTATAAGTCGTGCGACCAACTCATTACCTCGATATGATACCATTTTGTAAATATATACCGTGACATGGCATGTGCGAACGAACGTTCGAGCAACACGTTAAGTTGAGAAGTGGCGAAATCGCGAGGAATAAATTTCGCATTAACGTTTAGACGTGGATATATTTTTCAATGATATTGGACTTAATTTGCGACTGAGTCCAATAAAATCGTGAGTCCGAGTTCAATAATAAACCGGAGCTAGTTTTGAAAGAGCGGCGCGCAGCCTCCGCGATAGCAAGGGTCTCTAGAGCTGTATGCTCGTTGAACCAACCCTTGATAGGTGCACTTTTGGGGTAGCCGGCAAGCCCCCTACGGTAGTGACTGTGCTTCAAGCCTCGAGTGCCCACCGAGACGCGCAAGAGCGAAGGGCTGCGCACCGCCTATGTCACGAGACGAGCTACATCCAAGATGAAGTTTCAAATATTCCACGGCGCGCGTTTAATACGGCTTTTTTAAGAAAATATTCCTACGCGAGCCGGCGCTCTCGACGCTCGAGGAATTCCACCCGTTGGCAGCACACGGTTTCACTCGAGGATATTTTGAAATAGTTTTATGGATCGATCGTTGTTCAGCTCGGAGGCCCTTCGATTCGATCGTTGGGACGTTTATTTCGCTCAAGCGTTCCTGCATCGATTAACGACGCTAGGGAGAACGTAGGAAAGCATTCGTTCTCTACATTTTTATAAATATGCACGTAAAAATGTATCTCTTTTCCTGTTTCTTGCAGGAGCCATTTTATTTTTAATAATTTTCCAGAAGCAAATGAAATCTGCGTTTACCATAGAATATTTATATGAATGTTCGTAACCACAAAATACTACTCCAATAATCTGAAAATGAATGATATTTATTCAGTAAATGCAATAAAGATTTACCACGATTCTGACTAGATATTAGATATAAGACAAAGGATTAACAATCGCACGACGAAAATATATATTTCTTTTTCATATAATAATTTCAAGTTCCTGAAATGTTTAAAATAATCAATCGAGGATACGTGTAGATTTAAAAAACCTCAACGTTAAATTGAATAACGACGGCCATTTTTCATACACGGCAACCTACTACAGCAGGAATGTGAGGTAATAATATCTCGTCCCATTTCGTAACGAAGGAAGCAAGAATACGTTCAAGGTAGTAGCCATTACGACTAAAAAGGCCATTGGATCATTTTTATGCTATTGTCCGGCACGCATTGGGAGCCAGACGTCCGATGCCGTAAACTTCTGCTTTACGACAGAAATATCCATACCGCAAACTTATTCTTTACGATGGAAGTCGAACGCTTTCTTAGCAGCCGGTTTTATGGGCTGTCAGAGAGTATCGGCCGATGACATAACGTCGCCCGTAAGTCTTGCTTTTCAGCCGAAATTGCCTATGCTTTGCGCTGGAAGCACACATGTTTCAAAGGCGATACCTCGCCGCTTCTACAAACGCGAGCAGAAGAAAAAAAGACCAGAACCGCGCCGTCGCTAGATTCCCATCTGGTCTTCCGCGTCGTCCTGAGAATCCCGACTCGACGGGGAATTACGAAAATTACTTACTTTATTCATGGAACCGTGTTAGAGGAGAAGTCTGAAAGGAGCGACGCCGCTCCTATGAAATTGATGCCGGAATGAATAAAAAAAGGATGATATTCGCACAGGCATCCGATCGTCTCATGATCGACATGAGAAAATCGTGGGTCGGACACCGATCCATCGTCTAGTTTGCCTTGGACGCGTTACACGGCTTTCGCCATTCATTGCGACTAACCGAACTAATGGGAATTCCGGCAACTGAAACCAAGGGATCGATACGAAACAGTCTCGACAGCTGCAGGTGCGAGAACCGCTCAATCTCATCCGAAGCGGGATCCAAAAAGGCGGCATGTGCGTGAACATTTTGTTAAATTGTCGGTGAAACGGATCGAGCGACAGACAATCTACGCGAAACGAACGAACATCATTAGCGACGTGAAACGCGTTCGGTCGCCGTCCTTTCGCGTTTCGCCGGCGTTTCGTCGGGAAAGATATGCGTGAAAAATAATATCGCTTCTCCTCCAGTGCACGAGGCAGAAAAAAAAGAGAAAGGTTTGAACGGAAGGCTTAAATGGCGGGTAATTAAAAAATGGAACGCAAAATCAGCCGGGGTTTCAGCTCATTAGTTTTCAGCGGCGGTGAACGATGACAGAGTCGGCGAAAATGCGATGGTTGAATGCCGGATATAGCAGACGTTATGTCATCCAGCGCACACAGCCGTGGAAAAGACACGCGTGTGCATGTCCCGCGGCGGCGTTAATTGGCTCCGCGATGAATATTACAAAATAACGGCTGCTTGAAAGGGAGGCCCCGCTTTAATTACGATATAATGCGTGTCGGTCGAGTTCCCCCCTTGAAAGAATGATACGCGCGACTCGCGACGAGCAACACCTCGCTTTCATCAGATCGCTTAATATGGAAGTCGCTCAAGGAAGTTTCATTCCAGTTCAATTCACACCCTGAGGGACGATATGACGTTGAACGTCTACAAGAAACGTGCCAGGCAGGTAAAACGACATAGAAAAAAATTGTTAGACTGAAACTGTACGTTTCGCGTAATTCAGGCTTTTGATCACGCTGACGCGGAAGCCAGTGGATCGCTCACTAAACACCAATATAAGATCGCAATGACCGTTGTTTTTGGATACTGCCCGGATAAAGTAAAATATTTTAAGTATGCATCGATATTTAGGAAAAGAATATTAGTCTTCAATTCTTTTTTTGTTTTCTAGATAGAAGTAAAACATATTTTCCGATCTAAGGATAAAATTTTTTATGAAGAATTTGAACACTGGGTACTTGAAAAGTGTTTTGCAAATGATGAACATGTGAATTTGGAAATATTATTTTCTCTACTGGATAAGGATTGTATGATTTCTTAATCCATAAAGCAAAAAAAATTTGCAATTTTAAGGAAACTTTTGTTTTTAGATAAAGGATACTTGATAATAGATGATTTCTGTTTGGCAAGCACATCTGTCGATTTAAATATTTCACCCTTGGTTTGGAGAACAGTATTCAAGGAATTGGATCGTAACAAAAAAGGATATCTCGACTTTGATGAATTCTCGCGTGTATTTCCATCGATATAAAAACTTACAACGAGGTAGTTTAATTTATAATATAATTTGAGTATAAAGTAAATAAGAAAAGAAAAATGAAGAAACAGTTCATTTCGTATCACAATGGTGTGAAACCAATACTCAATTACTAAACTATTCGTTTCTTTACAGAATATTTAATTAGAGTCCTCGACATATTCGTACAAAAATAATTGTACGTTATAGACTATAATACAGTCTCTTAACTATAACGTATTGAACGGCTTGCGTTCTATGCAGTCCATTGTTTTAATAGTATAACACATCTTCTGAATGTACAATAAAGCTCGCAGTGGAGACAAAAATAAATATTCTCGGCAGAACGTACGCTATCAGGAAATATTCATTGTCCATGGGAAAACTCTTGATTCGCTAAGCGATAAAAGTGAGAGTCGATGTTCTGAATCAACAGATTTGGTTCGTCGAACTCTAAAACTTCCCCTTCTCCCATTACAAGAACCCTAAAATAAAGTCGAGTATTGAATGATCAATACGTTAAGCATTTATCGAACTAACATACCTATCGCAGTGCATGATTGTTCTTATCCTATGCGCCACAGTGATCACCGTAGCACTCTGAAAGGAAGACTTTATCGTAGACTGCAAAAATTTATCCGTCTCTTGATCAACGTTTGCCGTAGCTTCGTCGATACAAACGATCTATAAAAGATAACAAAAGGATGAATATTATGGAGACTATAATACACCGAAACATCCTAATTAAAAAAAAATCATTGGCAATACCTTGGCATTGTGTAAAACTGCTCTAACCAAACAAAACAATTGTCTCTGCCCCGCACTTAGATTGCTACCACATTCATCTAAAGTGGCGCCAAGACCTCCCAAACGATATACTAACGAATGTATTTTACACTTTTCCAATGCTTTAAATATGTGCACATCCGTATACTGATTTAGAGGATCTAGGTTCTCTCTTATTGTACCCGAAAAAAGAAATGGATTTTGGGGTATAATAGCCAAACGAGATCTGAAATAATTTTTGATAAATTATGTTTGAGTTAGTGAAATAAAAATGCTCAATACTAATGGTCTCATTATTTGTAATTTAATTATTCCCCTGTATCTTTACCTTAATAACATGAAAAAATATCTCAAAATTATTTATCTATAAATTACTTATCTATAAAATTGATTACATTAAAGCACCAAAAAATCTTACCTTAATGCGTTCAGCTGTAAAGTTTGTGTATTAACATTATCTATTAATATAGTTCCAGAACTGATTTCTGTTAACCTAAATAACGAAGTAAATAATGAACTCTTTCCAGCACCTGTTCGTCCAACGACGCCAATTTTCTCTGCTGGTCGCGTAGAAAATGTTACACCATTCAATGATGGCACCAAATGCTCTCTGTAAAGTATACCTACCGTTTTATATATATAATACATATTTAGTAGTCGCTTGTAACTAATAACATATAATACCTATATTTTAAAACAACTTCTTTGAATTCAATTACACCTTGACTCGGCCAAGCATACGGTGGATTATCACCTCTCACAGATTCTGCGGGAACGTTTTCTAAATATTGTTTAACGCGTTCTACCGCAATCATCTCTCTTTCCGTTTCGGTAAATGCATTGACTACACCAGATAACAACCCAGTTATAGATAATGTATAAGTAATAACAAGGCCTATTAAGCCAGGGTCTGCTATGTTATACTGATGTTGCAAAACTGCAATGTTGCTCACTCCAGCTAAAAGGGCCACTCCAATAAGTTGCAATCTTAATGCAAGCCATTGACTGGCAGCGATCGACGCAAATTGCGTTTTCTGACTGACTTCTAATAATAATTCATTTTCTTGGTTAAAGCGCGGTATAGTACGAAAAGCTCTTATAGTGGAAAGTCCAAATAACGTTTCATTAAAATGAGCATATAAAGGTGAAAGAGCTGTACTCGATAGACGCTTCAACTCTCTTGATGTTAATCTAGAAATTAGTAATAGTACAATGTTCTTCTGTATAAGCTTAAGGTACAAATGGAAAGTACCTGTAATGATTTTGAATCCAGTGATACACTGGAATGAGAGGAGCTAGCACTAATAGTATCCATGGTAAGCCGTAAGTAGTGACAATTATTGTTGCAAATAAGCCAAAGAGTTGTGCAAGTAAGATATTACCAATAAAAGGCAGAGTGTCATCAATCGTATATGTATCAGATGAAAATCTATTAATAATTCTACCGAGTGGTTGAGTATCAAAAAATACAGCTTTAGCCTAAAAATATATATTTTACATTAGTATATAATAAGAAACGATTATTTTTTTTGTAATATTTACATACCCGCACGACGATTTTTAAAAGCTGTTTATGAATCGTGATAGCTGCTTGAATCCCTCCATATGCAAACATAAATGCTCTCATCAAGGTAAATAGTGAATTAATTACAGCTAATATGGCATAAACTGTCAAATAATAATTTGTGCTTAAATTGTAATCGCCAATGAAATATTCCGATCGTAAAAGGTTTGGCCTGTCTGTAGTATTAGTTGCTGTTGCATTAATATGAGTAACCCAATAAGACAGCCATAAATCTGTCACAGTCTTAGAACTCTGCATTAAAAATATAGAGAGAAGTATTGAAATTGCTAAGTAACGACCTACAGCGTTAATATAGCATGAATATACTCCAAGTCGCACAGTTCCCTTTTCTGTAAATTCTTTGTCAAGTAATGAGTCTTTGTCATTTCTGTCAATTTTATATGTTTCTCTGGGTAAGTCACTGATAGATGTAATATCTAAATCCGGCTCATAACAATCTGATGATAATAAATAATCTTCTATGTCCGGCAAAACATCATTAGGTTTACCCTGTTTAACTATTTTGCCTTTGGACATCTCCATTACCAAATTTGCATGAATTAAATACTGAGTTTGGTGAGTACACATTAACCTTGTTTTGTTTTTCAATAAACCTAAAATAACATGCTCAAATACATAGCTAGCAACTTTGGGATCTAAAGTCGCTAAAATGTCATCCAATAAATAAATATCTTTATCCGCGTAAATAGCCCGTGCTAAAGCAATTCGTGTCTTTTGTCCTCCACTCAAAGTATTACCCGCTTCACCGACAAGTGTCAAATCTTTTTTAGGTAGAGAATTTAAATCAGTGGTCAGAGCACATGCTTTCAAGATGGTCCTATTGAGAGGCATATTATGTTAGAGTATTTTGTTATACCTATTTTAATATTCTATACTTACTTATATTTATTATAATCATAAGATTTTCCGAACAGTATGTTGTCTCGAATGGTAGTACGTTGTAACCAAGGACGTTGTGTCACATATGCAAAACCCTTTTCAATCTCATTTACTGCTATTGTGCCACGAACTTTAGTAATTTCGCTTAAAATACCATCTAATAATAGCGATTTTCCACTTCCCACTTTTCCCATAATCCCAATTAAATGCCCCTAAAATAAAACGTATTTTGTTTGGAAAACTATAGGCAATCAAACATAGTAATACAATTGTTTTATTACCTTTGGAATTGTAACATTGATATTATGCAGACTAAAAGTATCTTCATCTTCAAATGTTACTGTTTTCCTAGAATCTGAACTAGAAGATGGTGTTGTGACACTTTTAAGTGTATTCATATCACTTTTTTCTGTATTCTGCTTAGTATTTACGCCAAACATTACATTCTGCAACATTAAATCCACTCCAGGTGGACATTCTGAATAATATGATGATATATCTGCATCTGGTAACTAGATTCAATAAAATATAAGTAATAGAACTAAAATTTCTTGTTCAATTTTATCTTCATTGACAGGTTTCAGTTTCCACTTACATCTAACATTCTCTGTATTCTTTTAAGTGATACCCAAGCCTCTGTAAGACCATTTAAAACCCAGGGAAATGCATTTAGTGGACCTATGAGCATATTCATCAGTGCCATACTAGTAAAAACTGTTTTCGCATCCAATGTGTTTCCAAGAAGAACATATGTTGCAAACGTTAATATAGAAATCAACACAGGTGTTGTAGCCCAAAAATAAACAAACAGTGCATCTAAATATTTTCTGTCACTTAAGTACTTGATTTCACTGTCTCGTAATTCTAAGTGAAAAATATAATAAAAGATTACTAATGGGAGTAAATAACTAAGAATAATGAAATATATGAAAATATACTAACTAATAATGCTCCGCATGAAATGGTCCTCCCACACATTTAACTTAATTGCAATTATTCCACGTAGTGTTTCCCCTGTAAGACTGACCCTTTGATCTTTGTGCTCCATTAGTTTCGTACTAAGCTTCCCAACTTTATTTGTTATTAGTTTATTTATTGGTATAAGCACTATTGCAAAAGTAACCCCAGCTAAGAATGAAATCCCTATTTGTTCATGCAAAAGATATAATACCACAACCAACTGGAAAATATGAACATAAAACATTTTTAGTAGCTACTACAAAAATCAAAATACATATTGCTCACAAATATTGGTACCAATTAATTCTACAATTTTACAAATAAAAGTAAAGCATACAGAATTATACTAAGAGATTACCTGTAATGGAATGCTCCAAAATGCATGAAAACTTGGGCAGCTGTTTACTAATCTATCACTATCTGTACTCATAAAATTTACAATCTCACCAAAATTAAATTGTTGCTTTAATTTAACACTAGATGAATGTAGAGTCTTTCTATATACTAGAGTAATAATAGTAGATCGGATTTTTAAACCAACAACAGACATCCAAAATGTAAAGTGGGCATTGCAAAAAGCCCCTAAAATAATAATATTATTGTAACTCATATGACATAAGTAATGAACTATATACTTTATCGTATTGTATGTAAAAATTAGTAACAAGCATTATCTGCAGATAATCCTTGCATAAATTAATGCCTACCTATTAAAGCAGTAATAAATATTCCTGATGCATATAGATATCCATATGAGATAGGTTCATCTTTGTCTTCAATAAAACCAACCAATTTATTTAATAATATAGGTCCCATAAATGAAGTGCAATCAGTTATAAATTTTAATATTCCAACTAAATAAAATTCCCATCCAAAACACTTATGTAGCAAATGCAACAGCGTAATTTTATTTCTAACAGTTTGTACATCTGTTTCCATCATTAATTCATTATTTTCCACTCTGTCATTTACATTGTTGGTCTATAATATATTATTAAAAATTGTTAAATACATGTTAAAGTAAAACAATTATTAATTTCAGTAAAAATTAAGTAGATAATGGGATGTTCAATTTACCACATTTTGTAAATGTTTATCAAGTTTTTGACTAATTGCATTAGTACTGATATATTCTGGTAAATCGAATAGGTCATCTGAGTGATTTAATAAGCCACGAACACCCTTTTCCATTAATGGGGTCACCCAATGAAATGAAATTTTAGATATTGCTGTTACATTCTCCATAGCAGTCCCAAGGTAAGTTGGGTCCTGTTCTTCTGGGAATCTTACGTAAGAAGAGTTAGGAGTACTCAATAGTGCAGTCCGTTCTCCTATCTAAGAACACATTTTTCACTAATCTATAATATCTGTTAATAATTTATGGTTTTAGATATCAAAGTCAATACATAAATCCAACAACATGTATTGGAAATCTCTTAAATTGATAAGGATATAGAACACTAATCATTGATAATATTATGAGTCAGTATATTGAAAGCAAACAACTTAGAATGACTTACTTCATTAAATCGGGACGATCTCATATCTTGTAAACTATTGTGACCTGGTATTAGCGTTATAGCATAAAGTATTAGTAGAGTGACTACACTGATACTAAATCCCAATGACAAGTTTGGTAAAACATCATCTTCTACATTATATTTAATATGACTTCTTAGTAAGAGTATAGAGATAACAATTAGTAGAAGTATCAATGCTCGAATTGACACAGGACCACGTGGATTAAAAATTCTGCCTCTTCTTAAACTTAATACAAAACAAAGATGAACAACCCATGCTAATCCTTCAGTACCTGCCACTAAGTAATCAATAGGTTTGGCAGATGTTGCACTATCTTCAATTGTGTCTGATATTGGATCGTAATCTTGCGTATTAAAGGTAACAGAAGGTTCAGTTCCATTTTGAGTATTATTCTTAGGAAAAAAAATTGATTTTGTATAGTCGATGGTATAATTTAGTCCTTCTTTTATATGATCTATTAAATTTGATACATCCAAAAATGAATTTGAATCTTTATATGATGTCACGACTGATCCATGTGATATTAAATTATTATCAGTTGATACATTGCGTAATTGATTAAGAGTAGTATTAGTAAGAATAATGTATGCTCTAATTATAGGAAGGATTGCAAGGCACGCTATAATTAAAATTCTCAGGTTTATGACAGAATTAGAGCCATGAAGACGAAGGGAATATGAATTTCTTTTTCCACAATGATATGCAGATATTATTGCAATACAGACTAAAACAGGAATCTGAAAGTTACAAGAAAAATATTCAATAAATATAAAATTACTGATATTCTAACATACATACAATATACATTAATGTATTAACGTTGAATCACCTGGAGGCATAGTTGTTGAAAGCACACATCAAGATCATGCGTCTCTGGATTCAATGGTTTAATGCCTCCATGATATCCACATAATTCTGTCCAATTCCATTTCCATGACTCTCCAATTCCATCAGATAACCAATTATTATCCATATTTTATAGCTATAAAAAATTTTGAATAGAAACAGGGGATTGGAAATGTATTCATAAATCCAGAAAGAAATTAAAATAAAATTCACTTTACACATTAAAAATGTAGATAATACCCTATCTAAATCATAGTCCTATATTTTCCTCAATGAGTAAAATAATAATTATTGTATTAAATTTATTTTTTGTTTTGAACGTCATTTTGATTTAAAAAGCAATTCAAATGAACGGAGAATAATTTAATCCAAAATGTTTTATATAATCACAAGATCTACTACAGAAGACTCACCCGTCAAAAATATATCCTAGTGTACATATTAATGCATTCGTATAATTCAATATAATTTGCTACACATTTCGCGGAGTACCATGTTTCGGATTAGCCTCACATCAAATTGAAGTAAACTTGTTGGTTAGATTTCTGGTGACAGCCAGTGTGGGTGACGCATCTAATAGTAATTGATATGTTATAAATCACCCAAAGAAAAACATTTAAATTAAAATGGTAAAAAATGTGACTTTTGTAATGTAAAATGAACTATTAATAAATTTTACAGAAAGCTATCAATGGTCATATTAAATATTCTATTTCAACTGTTAATTTATTTATAAATTATTCTATTATATTGGTTAGAAATGACTCAGAAGGAAGATACGCAAGATTACGTACCCGAAATATCTTTTAATGAAAATGATAAAAAAGAAACAACGAAAAATGTCTTAATTATAGAAGAAAAAAATACAAGTTTGAGAGAAGAGCTATTAAATTATGTAGCTAACAGTAAAGCAATTTTTAAGAGTCAACAGAAGGATGATCCAGACCTAAGTTTTGAAGAAAAATTAACTATTGCGAGTAATGTATTGAGAAAAAGCAATTGTTTATTTTTATCTAAATTTGGACATTATATGAAGGAAGAACATCTAAAATATTTTGAAAAAAGTAAAGATCAAGACTACGAGGTTGCTTATCATGTTAATAGACTACATAGATATTTCAATAACTCGACAAGACATACCGATGTAAGGAACAGAAGATATCAAGCTTTAAAGAGTTTAATAAAACAAGGTGAATATTTCAGTGAGTCTGAGATGATGAAACGAAATCCATTATTATATGAACATTTAATTGGACAATATATGACTGAAAAACAGAAACAAAAGAGAGATAATATAGATACAAAGAATATTACTTTTGTAAATCTTTTAATGGAAAACATTGAAAGAGATGCACTAAAAGAAAAACAAAAATTACAAGAAGAGGAAGAACAAAATATAATAGAGGAAACTGATTCAGAAGAAGAAGAGGATGAAACTTTTATTCCAAAACATTTAAGTAACAGTGAAATAGAAATTTCAAGTTGGGGTAGAATACCTGTATTAAAGGATCAAATAGACCATCAAAATAAAGCAAAGTCATTATGCAAAAGATCTTATAATATCTCAAAAACAGAGAAACAAATACTCAAACAAGAATTTGTAACTAATATGTATCAATGTTTTTTGGATGGAAAAGATTCAGACTTTGATTACAGGTATGTGTATGAATTTTTTTATTTTTAATGAGTTAACTTATTAATATATTTTAAATATGTTCTTCTTTATTTTAGTGCTATAGATGAGAATGAAGCATATGATAATATAGATTTGAGAACACAAGACGAAGAAGAAAAGTATTTCGATTCAGAATCACCTGAAACTATAGGTCCAACCGAAAATACAAATGAAGTTGAATCTGAAGATGAATTGGACATATATATGAAATCACTGAAGGTTAATTGATATTTTACAGTTTATGATCAGCCTACGTTAAAAGTTCTGATTCATAAAACAAATTGTTTATTCGATAGGAGCCGGTCACTACAAGTACAGTCTCTTTGGATAATCTTGTATGTGATGATTACTCTAAAATGTAATCTTATATATGTATAACAATATAAATATGGTATTTGTAAATAAAAATCTTTTATGTTGAAAAGTTCCTTATTGAAAGAAAACATTTCATAAAATAATGAAAGTCCTAATAACAGAGAATACATGCAATTTAGTAGAAAAACATGCATTAATATTTTTCTCATAATTCAGGAGTTAATGTTACAACATAATATTCGTAAATTATTATAAAGGCAATTTATTAAATTTCATAAATACATACGAATAATTTATCTGCAGTGTATATGGTAATGTTAGTCTCCTATATATGTATCCTGAATATCTATAGGCTCTTGGTGTGTGTCACTTTCGTTGGTGGGTGTTTCAAGTGCGGGAAACAGGTGTTAAGTTTTAGGAAAAAGAAAATGGTAAGTACGGATTTCATTTTAAGAAGCATGTGGAACCCTTGCTTGTGGAGTTAGTTTACTAATTATCAATCGAATTTCATAAAAAATACGAGTGACTATCGTTGGGAAAATTATCTGAATGTCATGAAGGTTAACTGTCGTAAAAATCCTGTTTGTGTATGTCGAAGAGTGTCGAATGTTTAAAGTCCGACTGATATTCTTTTTATTCTTTATTAAAAGAACTAGAAAAAATACGACTGTAGATGTGTTTTCTAATAGTGTAACTTTTGGTTTGATTTATAACCTCTAGCTTTAATAAAAATTTGTATCAATTGTAAATTAGAATTTTGACTTTTAAAGTGTAACATCTTACTTTTTGTAGGCATTTATTACAAACATATAGTGACATTAGAATTTTTGCTTTCTTTAGATAATTTATGAAGCTTCTTACTGAATAATCTTTAGTGGGTAGATTTATAACTTTAAAAATTCCTCTGTCTTTTCCATTTTATAAGCATAAATAGTGCATGCTTGCATTGTATAGCTTACCTAGCATGGTACTACCTGGTATTCCTGGTAGGTATCTTTATTTTTTTCGCAGCCAATGACACCTGCTATAACTGGAGTGCAAGAGCAAGAGAAATTACTTGAAGAAGCGATTGGCGTGGTCAATGTACAAGCTTTTCAGATGAAACATTGCTTGGATAAGTCCAAATTGATGGATGCATTAAAACATGCATCCACAATGTTGGGGGAACTCAGAACGTCACTTTTGAGTCCAAAGAGTTATTACGAACTATGTATCCTTTATCATTTCTTAGTATCATAAGCACTTCTGAAGAACTCTTAAATTAATATACTAATTTTCATTACATTTGATCTTAGATATGGCAATTACAGATGAATTAAGACATTTAGAACTTTATTTGTTAGATGAATTTCAGAAAGGAAGAAAGGTCACAGATTTATATGAATTGGTACAATATGTTGGCAATATTGTGCCTAGATTGTAAGTCTGATGCATAAGTTATGATAATAAAAATACAATAAATCATTTTTGACATATTTGTCATTAATCTTAATTTACCGATAATGTATTCAATATTCTAGGTATTTGCTTATCACTGTTGGTTTAGTATATATCAAAACCACACCTGGATTAAAAAGAGATTTATTAAGAGATTTGGTAGAAATGTGTAGAGGTGTTCAACATCCTTTAAGGGGTCTCTTTTTAAGGAATTATTTATTACAATGTACTCGTAATATTTTACCGGATGTTGCAGAAGGAGATGACGAGGATGGAAATGTATGTATTGAAAAAAAAACAAAGAGTTGAATGTATAAATTAAATTATTTGTTTGTCTTTAGGTTCGTGATAGTATAGATCTTGTCTTGATGAATTTCGCAGAAATGAATAAATTATGGGTACGCATGCAACATCAAGGTCATAGTAGAGATAGAGAAAGAAGGGAGCGAGAAAGAGAAGAACTTCGAATTTTAGTTGGAACTAACCTTGTACGACTTAGTCAGTTAGAATCGGTAACTTTAGATAAATATAAAAAGGTATATTCTGAATTCAATTTTATTAATGGAATGTTTTCAAAGTATTAACTAATAACAAAATGATTTTCAGCTTGTTTTACCAGGAATATTGGAACAAGTAGTAAGTTGTAGAGATGCAATTGCTCAAGAATATCTCATGGAATGTATAATTCAAGTAAATAAAATAAAAAACATATAAAAATGTCACATAGTCATATTGTCATGAATAATTTATTTGTATTATTATTTAGGTATTTCCCGATGAGTTTCACTTACAAACATTAAATGCTTTTTTGAAACCTTGTGCTGAACTGCAAAGTGGTGTAAACGTAAAAAATATAATTATTTCGTTGATAGATCTTCTTGCAGCATTTAGTCAAAGATCTGATGGTGTGGGAGGACCAGGAAGTCCCAATCAACCACCTGGTATTCCACAAGATGTAAAGCTCTTTGATGTTTTTAGTGATCAAATTGCCACTATTATACAGGTTGGTATTAGAGAAATGTAAGTTATGATTAGTTTCTCTTGTACATTAGATGATGATGTGATACTACACTCAATTGATATACACATGATAAAAGCTATCAAAATTTAAATTATCCTTACTTGTCTAGTTTAAGTCTGAGAAAACCTTTTCATGATAAACATTAATTCTTTCACTATTTTTTACTAACAGAATTAAATTTTTAGACTAGGCAAGACATGCCTCCAGAAGATGTAGTTTCTCTTCAAGTTGCTCTTATCAACTTGGCACACAAGTGTTATCCTGATAGAGTAGACTATGTGGATAAAGTTTTATTAACAACTGTTCAAATATTCCAGAAACAGAATGTAGATAAGTATGTGCAAGAATTAATAAGATTCACTTTATGTGGTCATGAAATTCTAATAAACATAAATTATTTTCAGGCTTGAGTATAATAGTGCTGTCTCAAGGGAATTAGTAAGACTAATGAAGATTTCAATAGATAACTATAAGAATATACTAACAGTCTTGAAACTTGAACATTTTGCTCCATTGTTAGATTATTTTGACTATGAGGGTAGAAAATTGTTGGGTATTTATATAATAACAAATATTTTGGAAAATGAGACATTAATACCAACCCAAGAACAAGTAGATGCGGTGCTTTCTATGGTATCTCCATTGGTGCAAGATCAACCAGATCAACCTAATATAGAGGAAGATCCTGAAGACTTTGCAGAAGAACAAGGTCTTCTTGGCGGATTGATACACCATTTTAAATCTGAGATAGCTGATCAACAGTATATGATATTAAGTGCTGCCAGGAAACATTTTAGTGTTGGTGGAAATAAGAGAATAAAATATACTCTACCACCAATTGTATTTCAGGCTTATCAATTAGCATTTACATATAAGGCATTAAAAGATCAAGTTTGTATTTTATACATTTGTAAATAACTTATTTTAAACTGATCTTTTTTTCTAAACTTAGTTTATTCATCTTTCTAGGATGAAATGTGGCAAAAGAAATGTCAAAAAATTTTTCAATTTTGTCATACAACTATTACTGCATTAATGAAAGCAGAATTGGCCGAATTACCATTAAGGTTGTTTCTTCAGGGTGCAATAGCTATAGGAGAAATTCGGTTTGATAATTTTGAAATGGTCGCTTATGAATTTATGAGCCAAGCTTTTTCTATATATGAAGATGAAATAAGTGATTCTAAAGCTCAGCTGGCAGCGATTACTTTAATCATTGCTACTTTCGAACAAATGAGTTGTTTCAGTAAAGAAAATGCGGAACCAGTGCGCAATCAATGCGCTTTATATGCTAGTAAGTTACTAAGAAAACCAGATCAATGTAGGGGCGTTGCCACCTGTTCTCATATATTCTGGTCTGGAAAATCATTGGCAACAGGAGGGAAAGAAGTAAGTGTCAGTATTCTTAACTGCAAATAAATAGAAGTGTAATTTATTAACAATCGTTTCAGATGCAAGATGGAAATAAAGTTCTAGATTGTTTAAAGAAAGGTATTAGAATAGCAAGTCAGTGCATGGATATATCAGTTCAAGTGCAGCTTTACGTTGAATTATTAAATCATTATATTTACTTCTATGAAAAAGGAAACACTGTGGTAAGAAGCATTTAAGTTCTAACAAACATAACAATTGATGAATACACTGTTATAAATATTAAATTTTTCTAGGTAACTGTCCAAATTTTAAATCAAGTAATTGCAAAAATTAGAGAAGAACTCCCTAATTTGGAAGTCAGCGAAGAAACGGAACAAATTCAAAAACATTTAGCTAATACATTAGAACATTTAAGAAACAGGATGGAATCTCCAGAAGTAGATGGACTTTCATATCAAGGTCTTGTTCTCTAATGCAGTAGTTACGAATTACAATTTTGTATATAAAAGACATTTTCCGACTATTTTACAAAATGATTATAAATTCTAAAAGTAAACGCTTATTAGGTATAAATTACTATCACATGAATCGCATCGATTTACCTGCAGCAATGAAATTGTTAATATTACATCAAATATCATTTGTTAACAGTTAGATCAAAACATTATCTGTACATTTGTTTAAATAAAAGTTTGATGTATAAACTATTGTGAGTCTTTAATATAGTTGATTAACTTAGAAAATGGTTGTCAATGAAATATTATACAAGTTTATCATTAAATTGCAGTTAAATATGTTTTTTGTAAATCCCACATTACGAATAACGGTACTGACCCTGTTATGTATCTCAAGCAATATAAGGATGAATATCAATTATAACTAAATAATGAAACAATATATATACATATATATTTTTAAAGTCACATTGCAAGCTTATGTGACTCGGTGTCACATGTTCTGAATTACCGACTGTATATGAAATCAGAGATTTTGATCTGCACTCTTCAACTAGAGAACGATGAATAGGAAATCTACATCAAGCAAAATGATCGAATTTGACCAAGTAGTAAATATGTTTGAAATATCTATACCGTCGAAAATACCCCAATGCACTAGCGGACTCTACCTGAATCGAACGATCAACTACTGAACTATATAAGACTGTACTTAGAAAATGTGTGTTTTAGGAGGTCAATTTTTCCATTGTGGTCGGCTCTAAAAATTACATTGTTGTCGAATTTGGAGCATGTGTCTTGAGGTCGTTAAAATTCAGATACTAGATCGTAACTAAAATCAAAATATGAGTCATTAATTATATCATTAAATAATTACATATACATATACTTGTTCACTAATTTATAAATAAACATTACTTGATTTTACATCAATATAATACATAGATATTGAATGAAAAAAATAAAAATTGGTAAATACGAAGCAATCTTCACATTTAGTTCGTTTTATTTAATTACTATATTTTTTCATAGAAAATTCTTTGAATTAAAGTCATATAATTAATGTATTAAACATAATAAGATGTATATATGTATATTAAAAATTTCTATGCCACCTACATATACTTTAATGTGAATTACATATGTCCTGCGTACATGTTCAAACTATGCCCGTTAATATAAATTTCATGGAAAATAATTTTCAAGATATATGAGGCAACAGCTCTGGTTTTTCCAGATATAAAAATTAATTGTTCGAAAAACGATAAGAGCTTCGCCGATTATATTATGCCAGTAAATTGTGTACATTTTTAGTATTCATATTGTATTGTATTTTAAAATTGCAAATTCTGTTTAATATTCTGATAAATATCTATAAAAAATTACAAGTATATACAAAAATGTAATATTGAGATAAAAACATAGAAAATAACACGTTTTTTTATTTATTCATTAGTATTTATTTACATTTAAGCAAAATCAGTATATCTACGTTCAAAATAATATCTCAAAATGTATAACACATTTTAGTTCTGAATGCTTAAACATTTTGTTACAAATATTGCAGTTTAAATAAAAATGTATATTGAACTTCAGTTTTATTTGCCAAAATTTCAATTATTAAAATAAAAACTATTGGTATATAATTTATCGCAGAATTTTCTACAACTGCATAATTAAGCAAAATAATTTCGTATGTAAAATAGCTGTCCTTTACATAGTAAATGTATTTATAAAAATATTTACGTTTGTGAATTAATAAAAACTCCATTGTCATGAAGTTCTATTGAATAATAATTACTTTCATCTTTTAAAGGTACGCACCTAATACATTTGTTACCGCTAAATCTTATTACACAGTTGTAGCAAAAGTGAAATATATAATTAATTCGATTCCTGCTAATAAACCTAAAATTTTGTATTATCGGTAACGTCGAGTGCAACACCGAAATGGTACTGGGGTCTTGAGACCCTCGAAAGCCTAAACAAAAATTCCCATAAGCTGCAACGTCTGTACTAATCTTGAATCTGTGTTCCAATATTTTTTATCCTAATTCCTATCACTTATAGCGCTGCCATACAAAACCAGCCTAAGTCGATATGACAGAGCGTGACACGAAAATGGTAAAGGGTCCTGTAACTCCCGAAAACGTGTGATAAAATTTTACATTTATATGTGCCTATCCTATACCTCACTGTGTGTAGCATATTGAAAACCTACTGATTTTCACGACCTCTATAGTACGATACCGCAAGCTCACTGCTCTCGTGTACAAAATTGTATATACATGCATATATATATATATGTATATATATTTAAAAAGTGACAATTGACTTTCTGACATTGTTAAAAAATATTTAATTGTAAGCTTTTTTTTACTTGGATTACCACCGAATACTCTATTATAATACAAAACAAGTAAGATTTGTTATATTAAAGTGGCTAATTATTTTGTTCGTCAATATACTTTGTATTCAACATAGAAATTTGTTGGGGTTTCGTAAGCACGTGTTCATAGTTAAATGTTTTCTTATATATGTGCATATTTTAAACAATAATGGGAAAAGGACGAAAACATACGCCAAAAAAAAATTTCGCCGAAAAACGCCGCGAAAAACAAAAGGTATGAAGCAGCTAACTAATAAAAAAGCGCCAGCTTTTTATTTATGGTTATGCTTAATATAATACTTTATTAATTTTAAGTGTATATAACTGAATGTACGTAATAACAATAATAATGTATAAAACTATTATGGCTTACACAGAAAAAAGATAAATGGGATCGTACACCTCACCGTAGCTATGCAGACATTATTAGAGAAAATAAAGACTTCGAAAATTATTATAAAACTCAGGGAATCGTTCCTGATGATCAATGGGAATCATTTATGAATACAATGAAAACAAATCTTCCAGTAGCATTTAGGATTACTGGATCTAAATTGGAAGCTAAACGATTACTTGAGACTATCAAAGGAGATTTCTTTAAAGAAATTCTTAATGCAAGTCTAGAAAATGACTCAGAAAATAATGAAGAAGCAAAGAAGATATTACATTGTTTACCATTTTATCCAGATGGCTTAGCATGGCAATTGCAGTTGACTAGAAAAGATATTAGGAGATCAGAAGCTTATTTTAGATTACATAATTTTTTAGTTGTCGAAACAAATTGTGGAAGTATCAGTAGACAAGAGGTGGTTAGCATGGTACCACCTTTGGTATTAGATGTAAAACCTTCACATAAGGTATATCAATTTAATGAATTTATGTTCAATTCAATTGTAAAAGTATAAATTATAATTTTTTATATAGATTTTAGATATGTGTGCTGCTCCTGGATCAAAGACAGCTCAACTCATAGAAATGATACATTCCGAAGAGGGAAAAGCACTTCCAGGTAGATGAAAGTTTTTATATCAAAAGATAAGCATACAAATTGACAAATTATTGATTTCTTTTTAACATTTTACAGAGGGTTTTGTAATAGCTAATGATTTGGACAATAATCGTTGTTACATGCTTGTACACCAAGCAAAGAGACTGAATAGTCCAGTTATTTTAATTACAAATCACGATGCATCTGTATTACCTAACTTAACTTTCACAAAAGCAGATAATACTCAAGAACTATTAAGGTTAGTGAAATTTATGTTAAGTAGTATACAGTACATGTACAAAACATTTTGAAATATGCGTGTTATTACAGGTTTGATAGAATACTTGCCGATGTACCATGCAGTGGAGATGGTACCATGAGAAAAAATCCAGATATTTGGTGTAAGTGGAGCCCAGCAAACGGTAACAATCTTCATGGGTAAATATCATTTAATATTAAGTAATATATTTTTTTACAAAATAAATAATGGCTGTGGGTTCAAAGAATTCAATATAGGATAGCTAGGAGAGGTTTGGAGTTACTGACAGTTGGAGGTAGAATGGTATATTCTACATGTTCATTAAATCCAATAGAAAATGAAGCTGTGCTTCACAGACTTCTACTAGAAACTGGAGATTCTGTGCACATAGTTGATGGCAGAGATTTGGTTCCTGGATTAGTATGTGATACAGGTGTGTTATGTTACATATTATAATTATTAAATAACTTACACGTTTTATAACATATCCTTTAATAGGTGTGTCGCATTGGCTACCAGCATCAAAAGATTTACAGTACTATAAATCATGGGAAGATGTGCCAGAACAATGGCAAACACAGGTTCGACCAAAAATGTTTCCACCAAAACCAGAAGATGCTGCCAAATTTCATCTCGAACGATGGTAAATAAACGTATTCTAAGTTTTCACAATTGACACTACTTTAACTTTAAAAATTACATAGTATGAGGATATTACCACATCATCAAGACACTGGCGGTTTCTTCGTGGCCGTTTTAGAGAAAGTAAAACTTTTACCGTGGGAGTCGTGTAAAGGTAATTCTGATACTAAAGAAGCTAATGAAGTATCAAATATGGGGGAAGAGGCAGAAAAAGATAATGATAAAAGCTCAGCCTCTGGAAAACGACCATTAAATGATGAAAATAAACTACGTGGCCCGAGAAGTAAACGTAGAAGGGTTAAGGGATTTAGGGAGGATCCATTTCTTTTCTTTAAAGATGACCAGGAAGACGTGTGGTTATCGATTAAGTAAGTTTTCATATATTACATATATTATAGTAATGTTTCATTTATTCCGTTGATTAATTGTTAAAATTTTTAGAAAATTCTATGACATATCTGACGAATTAGACCCTAAATGTTTGTTGGTTCGAAATGAAGGTAGTAAAAAAAAGAATATTTACTATACATCGCCGGAAATTCGTAACGTCGTCCTGTCCAATGAAGATCAAATAAAATTAATCAATACGGGAGTGAAATCATTTGTACGTTGCGATAACAGGAGTATAAGCAAAAATATGAATATCCCATTCAGACTTGCGTGGGAGGGCTTGCAAACTCTTATTAATTATATTGGTGATGGTAGGAGGGTTTCATTAAATAAAGATGATTTGATAACACTATTACAAAATAATAATCCTATAGCACCACCTGAAATCGCAAAACTTCATCTGGACACACAAGAACGTTTAAAGAATCTTGGTAATGAACATTTGAACATTTGAACATTTTAAAAACATATTTCAAATGAAATTTTATTGTACAAATTCGATCTTTTTTAATTTAGCGACTGGAAGTTGCGTTCTCATTTATGAAGAAAAAGAGTCTGAAAATCCAAATCCATTGAAATTAAAAATCGTGGGATGGAGAGGTACTATGTCTCTGAGGGCTTATGTTCCATTGATTGATGCGATACATTATTTACGTTTGCTAGGAGCTGATTGTTCAAAATTCGGTACATATTTAAGAAATATATAGTATTCTACTTATAATATTTTCTCTGTTACAAATTTTGTATTGCAGAGAAAAACAAATTTAAGGAGAACCGGGAATCTCTTGCAGTTGAAGAAGCGAGTAATGAAGAAGATACTGATAAATTAGAAATTATTAATAAATCGGAAGAAACAACAGAATCAGAAACTATTAATAAGTCGGAGGAAGTAAACGAATTAGAAACTACTAATAAATCGGAAGAAACGAGAAAATTAGATAGTACTAATAAATTGGAAGAAACAAAAGAATTGGAAACTACTAATAAATCGAAAATTGCTAACGAACCAAATGCTGATGAAAACGAAGTTACTGAAAAAAAGGACAATTCAAATGAAGCCGATGAAGTAAAAATACCGAACGAATTGAAAGAATGATACGCAATTTTGTAATATAAATTGCTGTCTGTTTAATATCTTTATAAATATTAATAATATGTCTTAAGAGTAAAAAATTTTTATTTTATTTAAAGTTGTATAACGGTTCTCCACTCGTTGAAGTCGAAGAAGAGCGTCAAGACGTTTAATGTCTAGTATGGTATAATTTAACATACTATATGACAACGAAATAAAATATTTCTACAGGATAAAAAAATTACAATGATGTCATGGGAAATTTTGTGTTTACTATCCATTTTCTATGAAATAATTTATGAAATTACATATATTATTCTGAGTAATTTGAGCGTCGAATACCCTTTCCTTTTCTTGTCATATTCGGCCACTAGGATATTATTTGACTGATAGATTATAGTACAAATATTATAAATATGGCCGGATGCTGAGGAATCATTAATTCAAAAACGGCGGTTGCCATAACGTTCAATATGTTTGTAAATTGTATGGAACTCCTTGTTACTACCGTATGTTAAATTTGAAAAAGATGAGTATTTGTTGCTATATCTCGTTGGTTTTCGCTTTGGATTGCGACTACATAACCATTAATTTCGTTATCCGTGACTATGAAACGTTTATATACGCATCTATATAATTACGTAAAATTTCTATATATGTGCATATATATACGGGAATTTCATTGTCACGTGTATCGCAAGAAAGTTTGTGCGACCGCAATCTCAATATACGAGGTATCGTTAGATTTTCTTATTTCATTCTCAATTTAGTCGATAACAAGATTCCTAATATTCTAGAGACTAGAAGATTTTCACTTACGATTAGAAATTTTGCTTTAACACAGAGATATATCTACCAATGAAGGACGGGTTTTCCTATAAAAAAACAAATGCCAGTACAAATATGAAAAAAACGCTGGACATACAGCTCATAACATACAGATAAACTATAAAAGAAAAAAAAGTTTTCTAAAATTTGTTATATTCCAAGGTCCTTAAAATTGACGATTAATGCTAGTAGTCTCTACTGGTTGGGGACGTCATCTTTCCACCGAGATTTTGAGAATTGGATGGAGATTTCGAGCCTGCGAATAAAATAACATTGAAAAATATGCAGATGATTTACATAAAAATTCTAACTCTTACAGCTTTTCCCTAGTTTGTTCCGTGGGTTATTTGTACAGGGATGTTCACCCATAAGATGCTCCCTCCACTTATTTTGATTCACAAGACTAGAGCAGAGTGGGCAACGATCGTAGCCTTCGATGGGTTCTGTAACATTTAGCGATAAGTTGCAAACAGTTATTTGTAAAATAACATCATTTTATTATGCAATGCAGTACATACTTGTACACTTATTACTCTTTCTATGCTCGTCGAAAGAATTTTCGTGAATAGCTAGCTTGCACGTTTCGCATTTTACATAATTGCTTCGCATATCACATTCATCTGAAATGGTAAAGTTGATGTTTATTAAGGAAGTATTTATCTAAAAATAATGCAAAATACTTACTTAATAAGTGAAGATTCAAATACGAAATTTCTACCACTTGCTTGCACGATTCACATTTCGTCAACATAGGACAACTTCTCCAATAATGAATATTCAGACCCTCTTCTGAATATCCTTGCCCCTTTGAAAGGCAAAATATGCACACCCTATGAAAAACACACATATACAACAAATTTTTACGCTTATAACTTCTTTTGTAATACAATATAAATCATTTACTTGTCTCCCTTATGATCTGTACTATTCTCGGACGGAGATGTTATACTCGTTGAACTTCCAGTACTAACGACGGGACTTGTTCTCGAAGGAGATTTCGTTAAGTTCGCTACATTATTCTCTGTTGACTTCGTTCGTGTTGGTGTCGTTGTTTTATGACATGCTTCCGCTTCCTTTTTCCTCTATTAACGCATGGACATAACAATTAGAAATATGTACATTTGTTTACTTGTTTCATTAAAGATCTACCTGAAGATCGATGAGATCAAACTCATGGAAAAGTTGACGGTACAATAAATTTCTTCTTGTTATGTCATCGTCCGGAGGTAATTGTTTGCGAACCAGTCTAGGATTCACTTTGTACACCAACACTAAAATTCTCTCTGAAACTTTTCTGACTGCTTCCGCTGGATGGTGCAAGCCTGAAGAACCTAGCTCTGACAACGTTCGACACGTGAGTCCGCTGCAACAGTTACAATATCTTATCAGAGTAATTGCGTATTATGGGTGGGGGCTTAATGAGATGAATGAACCTCTGTAAATGATTGCAATAAGAATGATCTTATTGGAAATCATTAACAGAGGCCAAATAATGTTAATGAAAAAGGTCACGATTCAGAGAATTGGTAGTTGATATCAAATTCCATAATAGAGATTATGTCTTTCAGGGTCACCTTTGTTTGTCAGTAGATATTCCATGGTTGAGAATTAATTGCTCCACCATTTCTAGCCTACTAAGAGCCAGCCGTTGGTGTGTACTACTGCTAACTGGTCTCGTTAAATGCACCGGTATTAAATGCAATTCCCTGACACACTTGCAGTCTGCCATACTCAATATCGTATGCACTGCCATGTTATGAATCCTCGGAGTAGTGTCGCCTGATTTAGTTAGCAACTCTGGAAGAAGACGTTCTACGCTTCTTGCGATTTCGGTGGAGGATACTCTAAAAAAATATTATTACATAATAGCTTCATTGCGATATGATAAAGAAAATGATCATACCTATCTGTCGCAAACTCTGAGAAGAAAATCCTAATTAATTGCGCCGCTAGACTGTACACGCTGTAGACCTTATCCCTGAGAGCTCTATGCAGCAACAAAATCGCAGCTCTAGCTGTTTTATTTGCAGAGTGTTTTGAAACTTCTGGATCGAATGTTCTTAGTTCCTCCTTTAGCTGCATCAGCCCCTCTTCTTTGTCCGTGAATTGTTTCGAATAGAATTTCTCCACCTAAACAATGAATTGATAGTCATTGGTGTTAAGAAATCAGCAGAAAAAATCTTTTGAAACTTGCATCACCATTTCCATTCCGAAGACGGCTATAGGTAATGCAGCTTGCTTTTTTTCTCTGTCGTTCAGCTTCGAAACCACCTTAGTCTCCGTATTCTCCATGTGACATTCTCTTGTGAATTCATTCGTGTGCGAGCTGAAAAGCAGTTTATTGTATAACACTGTTTATATAAAATTAACAAAAATTGTAGGAAATGAAGGTGCATTACTGTCTTAAAGCTGGAATCGTCCTCTCTTCGTAAGCTTCATAGCTAGACCGAAGTGCCGGTCCTGCCGACTTGGTTTTCCGTCTGAGGGATCCCTTGTTGCAATTGTTTTGCCTCTCAATGACTCCATTTGTAGGACTATCAGTAACTTCTGTTGATTTCAAAGGTAAGCAATTAACTCTTTTCCGTTTGTATTCACACCGAAGGCTAATGGTCCGCATATATCGTACCAGGACTATTCGGTTTTTGATGCAGAGGCGAAACAGGTGGTTGATGAGCGGGACCAGTAGGAGATATAGCTCCGTCGCGATTGGGTGGTATCACTAATCTCGGGGGAGACGTAATGTCCTCGGGCGCCGCAGTGGTATTTGTCGTATCTACAGATACCGGTTCTTTACCTTCGACTGAAGACTGATTATTTTTCTCCAGCGGCTGTTTATATAAGGAAAACAATGTAAGTGAAATAAAAATAAAATGTAAACACATTAAATTCTATTGATAAACATAAGTACAAACTGTGGAGGATAAAACTTTCATTTATCTATAAATACACTTACGCCATGGATTTCAAGTAGATCTTGCACTTCTAAGCTCTGGTAGACTTGCTGCCTATATTGTTGCGCTTGTGCTTTTTTTGCCTTGGCCTTATCATAATCCTCTAATGCGATTGCATATTTTTTCTCCAATTCGTACTTCCCAAGTCGTTCTCCAGCTTTTCTTAAATTCTCCATAGCTACTTTTAACTTTGAAGCGTATTCGAACCTCTCCTCTAGAAATTATAAAGTATCAGGCGGCTGTTTTCAAATACCTGTCTCTTCTTGAAATAATATATTGCAACGTATACCTTCGACCGCTTGTAACTTTTTTGCCTCCATTTGTCTGATAATTTTGGCGACCTCGCGATCGACGTACATTTCGAAAGCTAAGTCGTCGTACGGAGACGTATAGTGAGGATTGAACGGCGCATCCCCTTGACCCGTTAAGTCTTGCCCGTAAGGTTCACCGAGGATATTGATAGCGATAAGGCCAACCTGTAATTTTCACGAATAGAAAAAAACGTTTCTACTTATCCATACAACGTTCTCGGAGACTTATTTTATACCTGCTGATAAACATTGTGCGCATTGCTGTGCGGTTTATGTAATCTCAGTTTTAAGGAGACTGCCTCTGTCTCTGGAAGTGCGACGCTCTTAAGCTCCCTGCTTTTGTACATGGTTGAAGCATTGTCGGACAACGTAATGTAACCCAAATAACTGAACTCCGTTGTGACTGAGGCATTCTCTTCCCGCGATGTCCAAATTTCCAGTTTCTCCGCTGCAACCATTTTTACCAATGATTACACATTTTCATCAGTGCGTTTTTCAATTTATTTTTTAAAGTAAGTGTAAAAATATTCCATAATAAGTAGAAAATAAAGCTGTTGAAAGTAATTTAACGCCGAGTAGAATGAGAAGAGAGGATGAATTAGGGAGGGCAAATGAAACTTGCCTCGGGAAATTGGGGTGAGAGGGTTAATTCGATTTTCATTCATTACTAAATTGGTTTTTAGAATGCACCAAGGATACTGAAATCTCAATTCTATGCAGTAAATTTTTAAATATTTATTCTAAATGAAAAGAACGTTGAAAAATGATGTACTAGTATTTTTTTAATTATGTCGACTCACGGATAAGGTACTGGTGAGCTAACACTTGAATCCTAGTCAACTTTGTCGGCCCGTGGAGGCGCAGAATGAGTTCTTGAGGATATGTACATCTTCTTGAACTTTGCCAACCCCTTACCGTCGGTCCATGAACGTTCAGTTCCAACGAAGAGTGTCTGTCCTCTTCGCCTATTTGAAAGTTACAGTTATAAATGGATCCAAAATAGGTTTACAACCAAAAATTCATTATTTTTTACAATATTCTACACAGACTTCAAGTTGCTTGTTTAAATAAAATGTTTATTTCCATATTAAACATGTTCCCCGACATCGTGTTATCTAACAAAATCACATCGTTTCCCTTCATGGGTAAAAATGGAGATGCCGATGTAATCGATAATGTTTTAACTCAGAAATTATACTTTCAACGATGAACGGTCAACACGAAACGCTGTCACGCTACGTATACGACGACTCGTTGTACGTTCCGCGATCATAACACAATTGAAAGCACGAGCAATGTTATTTCTCCATTTATTTTTACATCGAAGCTATGGAATTCGATAATCTGATCGGCGAAATACGAGTTGTTTTTAATTCCATTGAATGGCAGAGGGTAATTCATCGTCTATCAGAAAACGTGGAGAAGCACGTGCCGAACCGTTGCTGTTAATTTGATTTTTAAGCGTTTGCCTACTGAAACATCGAATATTTTAAAAATAGTATACACCTTCATAGAAAAATCAATGCTCATGTGCAGAAGCGTTTTAGATAATTTGATGTCGTTCAAACGATTAGGTTTTTATTTATACATATATATATATATATATATTTTTCTTTTTTAACACATGAGTGACCGCGACATATTCAGGTGTAAGTAAAAATTTCGCGCACAGGTCGAGGTTATCGCGATTGAATAGAAATCACAATCACAATCTGAAGTTCCCTTACTGGTGGCGTACACGACGTGGAATCCGATTTTTCTCGGCATGTTAAGGTGGTGGTTTGCTAGCGACGAGATCGGTGAACCAGAAGATCCGTCGAACAAGCGGATAAATAAAAAAAAAGTACGACGGGAGAAGGGGAAACGATGAAAATGTCAAAATCTAAAAGGCACAGCCATCTGAAAGCTCGATAAGGGGGAGCTTGCAAGATTCACCCCGGCGCGTAGGCAACGCCACTTGCACGTCTGGCCGCGGCGAAGCTTGCGACAGAACTGGCAGACTGCTCCCTGTTTTCGCGAGCGGAAACTCTGATCTCTCGACACCCCAAGCATTTTCGCTTGGCACAAGAGCCCCTCTTGTGCTTTTAAGTTCTTTTATAATCGGAGACAATCTAATGATCGGTTGAACGTGAACTGCAATGCAACAGTTATTTCCCTTTCTTTTCCTTCTTAATGTCACTTAATTTTTCATGATAGAGCTGAAAAATAAGGGGTGGTGAAACTTCCCCAGAGATTGATTGTATCTGTTAATTTTACGTAACAAATTGTTTTATCTATATAATCAATAAATGTGTAAGAATTTTGTGAAGATTATTAATCAAGACTTTAATTTTCATGCCATTAAATAAATTTTTTAAAGATTGTAATTATAGAATTTCAAGGTTTCCATTAAATCTTGACTTTTCGTACAAGGCACATTATGGCACCGTCTTGCATTCCGCTCAAGTTGAAATATAGACTGTAATTTCGTAATGGATCAATAAGCGGAGGCTGCGTGACGTCAGAGGGTGCGGCGAGGGTGGAATAGCTCGCGAGAATCGTTATATGTGTTGCGTGTCGTCCATTCACGACCACGTGCGCACGAGCACGTGCTTCTTCATTTTTAAATGAAGCAATTTAAGTAATTAATTTGTGCACTCAATGTCACCATATCTAATTAATTTCATAATTAAGTCATGTAATTAAATCATCTATTCAAACATGAAAATTGGAAACGTTTATGTAAAAAAACAACGATTAATATACAATTATTTATATTATATTTACTAATTTATATATTTTATTTAAAATATAGGAATGTACAGAGATGTTAAATAACAGTTGAGATTATGTAGTAGCAAAAAGATATAGGAGACCTTTTGCAAATTGGAAGATTTCTGAACCACCCAATTTTGATTCACCATAAAGACGATCTACAAATGAGATTGGTACTTCTCCTATGGTATATTTGAACTGTCTAGCTCTGACTATCATTTCCATTTGGAATACATATCCTTTGGATACACAGGACTTAATTAATTTCTCCAATACGTCTTTCTTATATAATCTGCAATTATAAGAATAAATAAGTATAACAAAATAAGAACATTATAAAATATATATAATTTGATAGTATTAAGTACCTGAAACTTCCTGTAAGATCACTGGCACCCGGCCTTAGAAGGATTTGCGTCAAGAAGTTTGCACCTCTGCTTATCAATTTTCTTTTAAAGTCCCAACCATAAACTCCTCCATCATGAGCATACCTTGTACCACTAACAATATCTAGATCAAGGTACCTCTGTTGTTCCACCATTTTGGGTATGAATTTAGGCTGACGAAGATAAAATATACATAAATTATAACAATCAAAATGGAATATTTGTTTGAAAAGAAATATATACATGATGAGATAGGTCAGAATCCATGATGACAATGAAATTTCCTGTGGCATGTTTAATTCCATGAATATAAGCTGTTCCAAGTCCAAGCTTCTTCTCTCTTGGTCTCAATATTATTTTATTTTCACCATACAAACCTTGCAACTGTTTTGCCATATCCAATGTTCCATCAGGAGAGCCATCGTCGATTACGATTATTTCATAATCAAGTTCGCTAGAATGTTGGATACGTTCGCTAGACTGATTAATTTTTTAGATTTCATACTTTTAATCCTTTACTTTTATCCAACGGGAGATATTTTATCCATAATTGAGGTTATGTTGCTATAGTATAGTTACCTCTCATCCATATATTTGACGATAAGCCAAATAATTATAGGTAAATTTTCAATTTCATTGTACGTCGGAAGTAAAATTGAATACTTATCATTTTTCGTTAACTCTTTTATATCTTTTTTAGTTTGTTCTTTTTCTACCATTTTGACAGTAATCGGTACAACACAGTATCGCGAATGGCACCTTCCTTATCAAGTGCCGCATTGCCGAATCCACGCGTTCCGGAGAATTTGTCAGTAAAACAGTCTACTTCCGGTGACGTGCCCATTAGCGGGTCAACACGTCTTTACAAAATGGAGGTTCAAATTTCGTTCAACAAATACATGCCATATTACAAAAACTTTATAAAATTTTCTCAAAATGCAAAGATTAATTATCTCATAATTATTGTCTTCATAAAAGATGTATCATTTCTAAGTATATAAATAAAAAGGATTTTGCAGTTATATCAGAGCAAATTACTAAAAAACAAAAAAAATAATTAAGAAAAGAACAGGGCATTTTCTTAAAAATTTGGTTCTTTAAAACGAATGGATATTGCAAATATTTTCATATGCTTATTTTTTACAATTATCTAACAGTTTTACATGTTCAAATTAAACTGAGTCTTCAAAATTTTTAATTTGAAAATTCTTTTAACGACCACTTTGCTAATCGAGTTTGAACTAACTGCATCATGTCTATTTTAAATAACGCAGATTAACTTCTTTCTCTGATTTAAAAAAATGTGCTTCAACAAGAAATAAAAGATCGCGGCGTTATTTGTTATTACAATTTCAAATACGGTCTGTCAGGTCCAATTGCAATTACAGGAGATGGTGCGAAAGTGCACGAGACCACGGCAGTTCCTGTCGCGTGCGAGAAAGGTCGACCAACCGACGTCCCCACTACGTCCCAACACTAGAGCGTACACCACGACGACGACCCCCACCGCCGACCTCGAGATCCCGTGGAGCAGCCGCTGTCCCGAAGCAAAACGACGCTCCTCGCTGCACTCTTCGGTCGTTCACGGACCTAGAGTGTTCGTTCTATTCGAGCGGTGTGTAGTCAGCGTGTGTTCTCTGCGATTTAATCGACGTGTTGTCGGTACGTACTCCGATGAAATCGTCACTGTTCTCACACGTGTGAGTCACGCTCGGGAGTTTCTCCTACATGAGCACGGCGACCTTCGCTCAAGGAAACAAAAAAAAACGAGAAATTAAAACCGAGCGATCGGGAAGTCAGTCCAGACCGGCCTGAGAGATTCGCGAAATCTCCCGTGGGTGTGTACGTGTGGTACATGTGCTCCTGTGAATGCCGAGTGTGATCATCGCGGGTGATCGTTATCATCGTCTGGAAGCCGTAGCTTCCTTCGAATTGAATCGGATCGCAGCAGTCTGTCGAAGCGCAATTTTAATCGTCGAACCGGCAAGGTCTTGAATCCTCGGACAGGGTGTCACTTTTAATTGTCAAATCGATTCTTTCATCGAGCGATGGGATGAATCGCTGACACTCTTGAATCACATCGGCTGATGTTAAATTATTTAATAGTACTCCGAGATGATTTATCGGCCGCGTTGGGGGGAGAGAGGTGCTAATCGCGAACGGATGCAACGTTATGGAGTACGCGTTCGTTCAACTTGAAAGATTGCCTCTTTACAATGCGGATGATAATTAAAGGAAGAAGTTCCGAAGTCTCGTCGGATGCAAGGGTGGTGACCTTCTGCGGCCGACGAGAGTAGATGTCGGATGTGTCCTAGATTCATTAGCACCGATATCGGTGCACTCCGACAGCGAGAGTATCGGTGAATTAATTGAACGAACTCCGCGAGTCGTATAATCTTTCGATTTGCACCCGATGGT